GTTGTGTGCCTGCAAGTCATTTATGACTTAGGGTGATCTTAACGCAAACATATAATGGGGGTTTGTTGGCAAGATTTGTTCATAGGTTTGCCTTTGCCTTTCTCTGAGACTGAGAGAATGTGTTGCCCAAAGCCACTTAGTGATTTCCATGGCTGAGCAGGGATTTGAACTTTTGTCTCAGGAGACCTAGTCCAACACCCAAACCACTACACCACATTGTCTCTACTAGCTATGAATTCTGAGATGAAGATTCTTGGTCAGTTACACAAATACATTTTTATTTTTTATTTGTGGAGAATTATTTGGTACATAATGATATTAATGTTGTCAGGACAGAATAGCCCACCATACCACAGAGGCACAGGATGGAATGTGTGAACTGTATAGATGAGAAATCTGGGGAATGTACTTTTCAAAATCTAAGTTACATCAACTGTCATGTGTTTTGTTCCTCTAATATTAGCAATCAACAGGTCTAAGAGAAGCAAATCAGATAGAGTAACATTTTCAAAAAATGATTGTGGAGCAATAAATTTCTGACACTAAGGGCCTGAACAGACTGCTAGAAATAATCCATCTTGAGACCACTTTAACTGCAATGGCTCAATGCTAGAGAATCATGGGAACTGTAGCTTTTTCTGAGGCATTGAGCCTTCTCCGTCAGAGAGCTCTGGTGCCATAATAAACTACATTTCCCATGATTCCCTTGCACTAAGCCAGGGCAGCTAAAGTGGTCTGAAGCTGGATTATTTCTGGCAGTCTGTTCAGGCCCTAAATTACTGATTCAATTAGGTCGTAACTAAAATTACAAGTTCCACTGCATCCTTCAAGTATAATTGTTTTAATAATGTGTTACTAGTATAAGCTAGCAGCACTTATCCTGGAAAACAGCACCTTCTTCCTCAACACCGATTTCCAAATTTGAGGGGCTGGAATGATCCAGAGGGGCAATGAGGGAAAAAGGGGGGAGAGCAGGGTGGCAATGAGGGTAAAAGGGGTGGTGGTGGTGAGATTTCAGTCAAAGTATTGGTATACAAGAAAGATAAAGGGAACCAGCAGCCTCTAGGACCATTCTGGGGATAAGGATTGCATGAAACTTCTTTTCAGGGTCCCTTAAAACCATCATGAAGGCTCACTTTATGTGGTGGTGTCTCCCGCTCTTCATCTGCCTGCACAAGCTCACTCTCTTAGCTGCATCTTTCCTAGTAGTGATAGGAAACTCTTCCAAGGCTTGAGTGCAGGTCATAATTTGTGTGCCTTGGTGTGGCACCATTTTGGGACAGACAGACTGACTGACTGACTGGAGCAAGAAATTAGAGCATGTGGCAGTGAGGAAGAAGCGGCAGCAAAAAGGATATTTCAAATTTAAGATGCTGCTTAGGTTTTGTGAGCTTCGCTGGGACTTGGCTGGCAGGTTGGAACTACACTTTCTTTCACTGGCAGGCTGAGAGAAGAGATAGAGCAGGGGTAGGCAACCTTTCCCCTTTAAGGGCCGAGGGACTTCAGCTCCCAGAAGGAACAATGTTTGTATGTGGGGAAGACATGCCTCTGGGGAAGGAAAGGGAGGAATATCTGGGGCTGATTCTGGGAAAAAGTCATTTGCCATGCAACAGCTCCTGCAGTTAAAATATCTTTCTTTCCCCATCCATGCCAGTCTACAGTCCAGAGCATGTGGTCTCTGTAAACCCACTTCACATATAGTGACTGTGCCCCACGAAGAAGGATTAAGAGTCCTTCCTTGCCAGGGAGAAGCTTCTCCCTTAACACCTGGTCACCTTGGAAGCTGCAACTTGCCAGGGAGAAGCTTCTCCCTTAACATCTGGTCACCTTGGAAGCTGCAACGTTTCTTGCCTGCACTGACCTTTGCCACAAGGCTGGAACTTTCCAGTCACTGCCCAGTCAGCTACTCAGTTGCTGCTCAGAGGGTGACTGGGTGCAAAGGGAGTAACAACCAAACAGCCAGTTGAGCAGCAACTGAGAAGCCTCTCACCTGCTCCAGCTTTTACTACAAGGCTGGCACAGGCGAGAGGCTTCTTGTTTGCTGCTTAGCCAGCTGCTCAGTTGCTGCTCTCAAGGTGACTGGGTGCAAAGAAAGCAGTGACAAGATTGGTTGTTTTAAATTTGCAGTAGAATAGTAGTCCTAATATCAGCAGATTTGCATGGGTGTGTGTGCTAGTGTTGTTGCCCAAGAAGAAAGGGTGCGTCGGGCCAAAAAAGTTTGGGAACTACTGCTCTAATGCTTGCAAACTTAATGAAGTTAGTTCATCCAACAAGTGAAGGTGTTACAACCAAACCATCAAAGACTTACTTTTCTCAGCTACAGCTTCAAGAATCCACTCCCCCCCCCCAACCATGCTGGCTAGAGGATTCTGGGAACTGTACTCCAAACCAATAATATTTTCAAGATTTTAATTATATCTCCTAAGGATTGTGGCTGAGCACACCATGCACTGTATAAAGACCCAAAAGTGAATCTAGCTATACACCTTTTTACATTACATATGCCTCCTTGTGAAGTAAGTAATGGTAAGTTCTCTGGAACAGAGAGCAAGAGGAAAATGCATTATGCAGAATTTTCTAACTGTATATAATATAAAGAAAAAAGAGGGGGTAGGTAAAATAGCTTACCACTCCAGCCCAGATGGGTATCCTAGATTTACTCAGTGCTGATTCCCTTCTGTTTGCACCATCTATTATTCCACTGACAATGCAAACTGTGGCACAAGCTATTTGGAAGAGTCCCAGAACAACCATACTTTTCTGGTTGAAGATGAAATATCTGTAGCGATCCATTTCAGCTAATCCTCACTTTAAAGGGTTTGTCCAGTTTGGGATGAAGCACGAGGATTGTTCAAGAAAAGGCAGCCCTTGTCATATATTCTGAATAGAAGATGCAAAAATTTCACACAACTCATTAGCACTTCAACAAGCATCATTTGACAAATGGTTCACATGCCATTCCATTATAAGGACGACCTGATATAGTCTTGCAGTGTTAAAGATAAGATTTACTGCATATATGGAGATCCTGACTATCTATTTAAAAAAAAATGTGGTAAGAAAATATCAACAGCAAGTTGACTGGATGTCTTGTTTTGCTCTGGATAAAGAAAATGTGGAGCCTTCAGTTTAAGAGCACAGTGAATGGTGTACGATGCAAAATCAAGCAAGTAAAAATGTATATGACTGCTTGCAAACAAAACATAAGAAAGCAAAAATGCAATGATTCAGATTTTCCTTTATCACTAGTATTCATTATTTATTGCACTGTCCGTATGGTATTGGGGGGGGGGGAATTACAATTGAGGATTAATAGGATTACATTTCCTATTGCTTTGGGGTTTGTCTCAGGTCTAATCTGAACTGCAGGAATAATGCAGTTTGACACTGCTTTAATTGCCATGATTCGATGCTATAGAATTCTGGGATTTGTAGTTTGTTGTGGCACCTTTGACAGGGAAAGCTAAATATCTCAGAAAACTACAAATCCCAGAATTCCATAACATTGGCCCATGGCAGTTAAAGTGTTGTGAAACTGCATTATTTCTGCAGTGCAGATGAGATCTCAATCAGGAAAGATGTTTGTTACTGGAGGGTAGAGGCAGAAAGCTCATTATAAAATAATGTTGATTTAAGATAGGAGGAGTTTGTGTCCGATTAGTTAATCCCAACTAAACCCATATAATCAAGTGGTGCATGGTGGATCTGTTGGGGATTAGAGTACAAGTCAAACAAAAATATTGTGCTTTGTATTTTCTGCATTTCTGAAGTGAAAGGTTGCACAAATATTCCATAATACCACAGTAAAGTACTGTTCGGGCTCTTCATGAAGGGTTGGCAATGTCCTTCCAGTTGTTTTTGGACTGCAATTCCCATTACCACTGGTTATGTTGGCTAGGACTGATGGAAATTGCAGCCTGACAAGTATCTGGATAGCCACTATTGCCCATCTCTGATCAGTATAATTCAAGTAATATGGCTGGGATACTGGGAAGTAAGGTAATTGTACCTCTTCATACTTAGGATGTCATAGGTAATGTCCAATCAGTACTTGTGATATATGCACTATCACAGCACACATAACTGTTACAATAGGTTGAATGCTGACAAAGTTAATTGCATTTAGGTCCCATCAACATCAATATAAAAAGATATGGATTACTTAAATTGTATCGGGATCTTGTACAATTAACAATGTATTAAGTAAAATGTTTGTGTTAGCAGAAGAAGTAAAACTCATTTCCGCAGTAATTAAATTTTGTTGCTTCACTGGACTTTTCAGTAAAGATGCATTTGACATCCGTGCAACATTGTTACAAATGAACAAGAACTGCACCTTTAAAGCATAGTCTGGAAACCAGGCCTCTGATCACAATAGGAGCAAATCTTCCTCAAAGAATTAATCTGTAGAAAAATCAATTACAGCAGTTATAATTTTGTTGTATAGATGGGTTTCAGAGCAGCATCTCCTTCCAAATTGATCAAACACCAGTATGCAATTTATCTACATCTAAACTGTTACTTTTAAGTCCCACTGCAATTGGTACCACTTAACATTAGCCATGAGTACCTTTTCATACTTCCTTCAATAAGAGTGAAGTGTGATTAGCTTAGTTTGAATCCAACCCAATATTGATTTTTAAGAGAGAATGAAGCTGTTAGATAATAATTATGGGAAAACTGTATTATGTGGCTAATAGGGTACAATTGAGCTATTGATCTGAATATCTATGAAGGTAGACTCATTGAAGCCTGTAGGTTCTAGTTTTAGGTAGACAAGTGTCTGATGTAGAGGACTATAATCCATTAACTCACACACTATAATAAAAGTGATATCTTTTAAGTTTCCACAGGGCTCTTTCTCCTTGGTTTTCCCTCTTTTTTGACTTATGACGATCCTAAGGCAACCCTATCTTAGGGTTTTCTTGGAAAGTTTCTTCAGAAGGGCTTTGGCATTGCCATCCTCTGAGGCTGAGATACTGTGACCCCAGTGGGTTTTATGCCTGAGCAGGGAATCGAATCCTAATCTCCAGAGTTGTAGTCCAGCACTCAAACCACTACACCACACTGGTTCTCATGCTTGTCCCTCACAGTGGTTGCCAAACTCCCAGAATTCCTGACTGTTAGCCAAACTGGCGAGGGCTTCTGGGACTTGGGGTCCAAAATACCTGGAGGACCAGAGTTTGGGAATCACTACAATTGCTTTCGGGACTTCTCATTACTTAGGCAAGCAGGAAAAATAAACAAGGTTGGTTATTCGGGCAGCTGTTCCTAAATGGGTGGCCTGGAGATGTATTGGGTTACAACTCCTCTCACTCCACTTGACTGGGCGATGGTGGGATTTATAGCGCAACACATCTTGTATGTATCTGCTTGGTAAAGGCTGCATTAACAAATCAGTTGTGCCCCTATACCAGGGATGAAACTGTCACTGGAAAGTGAATAATAAAACAGAAAAGAAAGAAAGGGGAATTCTGTGTCAGGCATAATTAGAAAGGGAACTGAAAAATGAAACTGCCCTTCCTTCACTGCTTTTATACAAATTCATGGAATACCCACATCTCCAATGCCTTGCATAGTTCTGGTTACTACACCTAAAAAAGGATATTGTATAACTGGGGGGGGGGGGGG